CCAAGGTCTGTTTCCCAACTGGCCCAGACCCAAACCAAGATAACACAGAGCTGCAGTAGCAGAAACGGAGAAGACCATGAGGAAGATGACACGAATTTGCAGAAATCACAAGAAAAGACTTTGGATTCTCGCCACCAAAAATATGTGTGTTCAAACTCAGTCTACCTAAAGCCCCAAGGAATAGCTGAATTACTTCTGTGTGTTTCTCCTAGATTAGTCTTCCCAACTAAAGTATAAGCTTTCTGAGGCTAGAACTCAAATCTTGCCTATCACTGAATCACCACCACTCCAATACCACTGCATACAATCAATGATTGCTGATGCATTAAATCATTTTCACCAGCCCATATACACCCAGCTCACGCTAGTCTTAATGATAGACCGAGGGAAATAGAATAGCCACCAGTGCCTTGAATTAGCAGTCCAGACAGCTTGGGTTTTCGTCACTGCTGTGCTGTTTGGTAGTTATGCCACATGAACAAGGTGCTTAACCTCTCTGAGCTAAGTTTCCTCATAAGTAAAATGGGCATTAAAAATCTAACTAAAGGACTATTGATTGGGTGAAGCAATGGTGAAAATATTCGCTATAGAAAAGATTCATAATCATAAATTGCTATACAAATGACTTTTTCATTTTTCTAAAATATGGCTAGCATTTTGGGAATGCAACTAATAAATGAGTTTCAGCACAAGACCGTTGCATGTTCGCATGTCGTCCAAAGCATTCTTGCTCATAAATACCATGCAGGCATAGTGAACACAGGTCCTCTAACATGCCTCAGAACGACCTCCACTCACCATCATCCCAGCCCCGTCTCTCTTGCTGGCCCATCTCTGTCTTCGTCTCTCTGTGTCTGTGGATCATTTCTGGGCCTCAGCATCTGACTCTCTTTCTCTCTAGCTCTTCCATCCTGTGCTCTCTGTTGCAGTGTCTCTGTGTCAGTAGTGCTCACCTTTCTAGCCCTGTTTTTGGTGTTTGGTTTTATCTTGCTGCCTCTTTCTGTCCTTCCATCTTTGCCTCTTTGTCTGTGGCCTTGCATCTCCTCCTCCTGTTAATTTTCTCTCTCTCTCTCTTTCTCTCTCTTTCTCTTTTAAATCTTTCACTGTCTTCTTTCTTGCCTGCCCCTTCCTCTTTCAGAGCAGAATTTCTTAATTTTAATAAAGTTGAACATGCCACTTCTTTCTTTCACAGATTCTGTTTTGGTCTTGTATTTAAAAACAAATCACAAAGCCAAGATCATAAAGATTTTCTCCTATGTTTTCTTTAAAAGGTCTATAGTTTTGCATGTTACATTTTCATCTATGGTCCTTTTCTTCAGTTTTATTGAGGTATAATCAAAATACCCAAGAAAATGCACACATATAATGTGCACATCTTGATGAGTTACCTTCCCGTCTGTTTCTGTCTCTTTCTCTCCTTGTCCCTCTCCGTCATCTGTTCCTCCCTGTGTCCTTGTCTTGTTTCTGTATCTGACCTGTCCACGCCTCTCTGCAGGGGGCCACCTTGCCCTCTTTCACGCTTCCCTCAGCAGCCTTCCTGGAGTCTGAGGCCTCATCCACCGCGTGACCCTCCATGTCAGCCCCTCCCTGAACTGCCCACACTCCACGGCCATTTCTCACCAGATCCCCCAGGTCAGTCTAAATCTCCCTTGTTTTCTTTAGGCAGGAGCCAGGCTTGTTTTCAGCCCCGGTCAAGACCTGGAAGGTGGGAAGGCACGTGCCGGCCTCCACTCTGCCCAGGGCAGGAGCCCTGAGAGGAAATCAGTTCAGTGTAGATCCAACATGAGGCCCCGCAAAACACATGGGCAACATTTATCTTTCAGCAACCTCGAGATTTTTTTTTTTCTATATTTTTTTTGGCGGCCAAAATCATATGTGCTCACAGTAGAAAATTCAGACAGTATGAGAAATGACAAAGACGCAGAAGGAAAAGTTACTCATTCTCCCACTGCCCAGGAGTGGCCACTGCCATCTGTTTCATCGTATTTTCTTCCAGGCTTTTTCCCATACATTTTTTCCTATCTGTACACAGAGAGGATCACAGTCGATACAGAATTATGCAATCTCTTTTGTTGTTTTAATATTTTATCATTTTTATTTTCCTTTGCCCTTGAAAGTTTTTCACAAACATGGTTATCTCTTCTTGTGCAAGGGGGGAAAATAAGAAATCTTCAGTGGTTTCCTATTTATCAAGTGGAAAAATTCAAATATGTTAACATGGCTACCACTGTGGCATGTCTTTTCCAATTTCAAAATGCCACACTCTGCACCAACTACAGCCAATGGGGCTCTATCGGTTCCCCAAATGCATAAGCTCACCTTAGCCTCTGGGCATTTGCAAAAGTCCTTCTCTCTGTCTAAAACACAAACACCTGCTTTTCCTCTGGAAATCTTCCCTGATCCCTCATGTTCCCCTTCCCACACCTTGACATCTAGGAAATATGCCCCATAACACACTATAGGTTTCCTCTTGGAAAACTTGCCCATTTTACTTGGTGTTGCCCTCACTAAACCATGACACCTTGGAAGAGTATCTATACTAAATGACACCAAGGACATGCCCAGCACTAAGCAAATGCTCAGGAATATTGGTTTTAATTCAGTCATACATTATAAATTTACCAAACCATTCCCTTAATATTGGACTTGTAGGTTGCTTTCAGTTTTTCTAGGTGATAAATAGCTGTATCAAGTAGCTTATTTGCAAATCTTTCTCTGTTTCCACTTATTTGCATAGGCTAAATATTCTCTGATTCTGTAAAATATCCAATAGTTTATATATCATCATTGTTCAATGTTATGAAGCATTCTCTTTGACAACTTAAAATTCCTGCCATAGATTTCTTTTCCTCGAAAACTCCTGATGGATCACAGAAAGGGTAAAGGAAACTAAATCAGTGGAATCTAAGATGAGAAAGGTTTCACTACATTTAAAACAGTTGTAAATCAGAGTGCTTGAGCCAGGAAAGAACTTACAGATCACATACCTCAATATGAGAAAAATGAAGCACTGAGTTATGGTACTTATGCAAGGTCACACTGCTCTTTTTCTGCTGATCATACCTTTAACATTCCCTCAGACAACTGGTGTACATTTATTAAACTCAACAAACATAAGAAGTTCAACAAAGCATGTTGTTTGAGCCCCAGGAGTGGCTATAGTCATCTAGAAGCTCCTTGGTTCTCCTTCCCATGTGCATTTTCACATGGCTACTTGGGCTGCTTCACTGAAAGCAGGTAAATTCCAAAGCAAAGCATTCCAAGAGCAAGCATCCCAAGAATGAGGACATGGAAGCTACCAGGTCAATGAATGGCTGCACTTGAAACCAGTACAGCTTCTCTTCTGCCACATCAAAACAGTCACAGACCCAGCTTAGGGCAAACTAGCTCCCATAGTAGGTGCAAATACTGGCAGACTGGGAGTCACCAAAGTCAAAGCTGGAGCTGTTACCAAACAATGAAGAGCATCTTTGGCCAACCCAGAGAGTTTGGATTCTGTGCGGAGGCAGGAAGTTCTCTACCACCAGCCACAACACATTGGTTAGTCATGAGATAGTATCACCAAAAAAAAAAAAGGAAAAAAGCTTTCTTTATTTTTTAAATAAAGTGTGTTTTAAGGCAATCATCCACATAATGTTACTTGTTTTAGCTTGCATTCTGATGTGCTTTCTATCTTAGCTCTCGGGGGAGTGTGGTTACTCCTCAGCCCGGCGTATCTGAGCAGCAGCCTGTGTGATTGTCATTCGTGTGGCTACCTTGCTCCTCAAGACAACTGGACACCAATTAAGCAGGTACTAGTGAGGTGGATTCTGTTTTGCAAAGATCACTCAGGCTGCTGGGTGGGGCATGAATTCTAGAGACAGAGACACCATCTGGAAGGGACCAAGAGATATGAGATGAATGTCACACCAAAGTGGCAGAGGAAGGGATGAAGAAGAAAGACGTGCTGGAGGTGGACTTCTCTAAGAGATGCCCTGGTGCCTGCATTCGCTCCCCTCACCCGTGGCGGACAGCTGCAACTCATTGCCTTCCCATCCCACCAGCAGGGTCTGTCTTTCTTCATTCTGCCCCCTGGACCTCTTCCCTTTTCCAGGAGCTCAACTGGGGTGTGCACCAGAGGTGTGTAGACCTGAGTCCCTGAGAACCACACTTACACCAGGGGGACGCTCCCTCCCTGCCACTCAATGGAGACATTCTGTGCAGAATGTGACTCAGAGGTGCTGGTAGATTCGAGCCTCCATCACCTAGAGCAGTGTCTTGGATATTGTACCTTTACCTGCCCCCTCTGCTCTGTCCCCCCTCACTCTTGATTTCTGAGATCACCTCTCAAATAAACTTCCTCACCCAAGTTCTTATCTCAGGAAGAGATAAGAACCTTTGGTGTCCTGGTAACTAAGACAAATCCAAAGATAGACTTGATAGGATTTAACAGCTTCATGGACATGAGGAATGAGGGACTGATGAGCAACAAGACTACCTTGGATTGTTAGTGGACTTTTGGGGCTGATGTAAACTGAGCTGGACTTTAAACCAAGCTTAGAAGTACGCCTGTCCTCCCAAACTGTGCAGTTTGGATTTCAGACAAACCAACCTTGAAAATTGTTCCAAAATGTGTTTAAATACAAATCAAGGTCAAGCTTCAAACCATTGGCCTCTTTTCCTAGGTGGTAATCCTGCTTTTGGGTAATAGGTACAACAAGGACAGCAAAGAGTGCTTCTCCTGGGAAGAATCTGGGATCTCATGTAGTTGATCTCCCTTTCTTACAGAGAAGGAAAGGGAGGCTCCCAGAGGCTGCATCATTGCCCAAGATCACAGTTCTGTATCCCCAGCTAAGGAGAGGTCATGTAAGCCAAGGTATAATGGAGCAGAAAAGGTGGAGGAACAACTCTAGGAGCAGAAAAATATATGCTCGTGACATTAATCCTCACCCAGAGCAAGGACCCATAGACGGAGTAGTTGTCACAGTGAGCAAGGAGGAAAAGAACCTTCATCCTTTATTAATAACCTACTACCTCCTCATTTATTTTGCTGCATATAATGACTTGCAGGCAGACACTTGGGGAAGTCAACAGAGTTTTAGGAAAGACTATAGGAGAGAGACTTCAGATTAAGAAAAGTTCATTCGGCAGAGAGCTCAGGGGCTAAGGCTGACACCTCCTGGTCTCCAATCCTGGTTCTCCCACTTCCAAGCTTCCTCCGTAGCTCAGTCTCCTTATCTGTAAAACGGGCAGAATATTTGTAAGTACCTACAATAGTCGTCACAAGGATTAAACAAAACATGTAATACACTAGAATAGAAGAGTATCTTTAATGGAAATAATCAATAAATATTAGCTAACATTCCCATCATAATAAATTTGCTTTTTCCAAAAAATTGGAAAGGCCTGCCAATAGTCTCAGTTTGCAGCTGGACATCCATGTTCTGCGGGATCACGTCTGAGGACATTGCTCTGGTTTAACATGACTATGGGACTACTAGGGATTGCACTGCTCTGACAATGATGAACCTCAGTGGTGTGAGACTACAGAAGGATATAGAGAAAGACCACAAATTTTTATTCTAATAACTCTCTATTTTCGTTTGTTAAAACAACCTATATCACTGTTGTATTTTTTTTTTTATCTAACAAAGTAAAAATCAAGTTACCATGACTTTGAAAATCAAAACATAAAATCATGATTTCCTTTTTCGATGCGACCCATATTCAGTAAAGTCAGGGTTTAAGTCCACGGAGATGGTAATAATAATAGCAATGGCTAAAAGCGCAGGGTGCTGTGCAAAATGCATAACAGGGATGAGCTCCTTGAGAGTTGAGACACATTGCACTTATTTCAAGATATAAAACCTGTATTACTGTTTTTGCAAAAAATAAAAGTGAAGTAATAGCAATAAGACATTCCTGCCTTCCTGACACAGGGCTCTGTTCTGGCATTTTCCTTATGATTGGTGGGCTATGCCCTTCAAGAATCGCCCACTCCCACCCTCCGCTTCCCTCCCCACCCTCCCCTGCCCCTCCCCCTGCTCATAAGCTGGGTAAGGGAGGGAGTGCGCACACAGCACATGGGAGGTGGAGGACAGAGTTCACCCTGTTAAAAATCATTAATCATCCTGAGGTCACCAGCTCCGAACACGTTTCCTTCTCAAAGGCTGTCCTGTGGGTGATCTGTCTCCTAACAGGTTTTGTAATGCTGAGTTGTAAAGCGTCCCTGATGAATTATTGTTGGCACTCAGTCCAAAGACTTGAAGGCTCGAGTCCATGAAAGAAAAAGCAGACGCTCTCCTCCCCGCCTGTCGTCCGTAAGGCCGGCACTGGGCTTGCATCGTGCCGGTGGCTGGTCTGGGGGCCCTTCCTCCTTGCAGCTGAGACTCCAGGAGGGGCCTGAGACAGTCACCCCTAGGCTGCACCTCCCTCATAGCGGACCTCTGGGTAAGGGGCAGGATTTATGTTCCCATTTGACCGATAAGGAAACTGAGGCTGGGGCTATGGTACGGCGTGCTACTTTGTGGCAAAGTCAGGATTAGAACTTTGATCCCTAAACTGCTACCCATTTCCCTTCTTGGGTACTACTTACCCTGGGCTCTATGGCCCCCAGTGATGTGGGCCCCCTCCCTGCAGGCACCGCCCCTGCCTTACCTAAGGCTTCTGCCCCAGCCTTCAGGTCTGCCAGATTGCTCTGCTCTCAGACCCTCCCCCCACCTGTTTCCTTCTGGCCATTCAAAGCCACTGTACCACCCGGCCAAAAATAGCCCCAGGTGCTCTTCATTGTAACACCTTACTTCTTCAGAGCTCTCAGCACTTTCCAATGCTCTCCTGTTGATTGTTTGTTAATTTGTTCTCTTCATGTCTCTCTATTTGCTGTCAGCTCCAGTTCATTCCGATGGTAAGCTCAGGAAGGCAGCCACTGGGTCCATCTTCTTTTCCACGTATGCCCAGCAGAGATAGCAACTTGCATGGGGCAGGTGCTCAGTAAACCTGTGGGTAATTAAGTAATTAACAAATCAAATGCTGAACATTAATAAGGCCTTACCTTCATATAAAACCTATGCAAATGTGTGTGTGTGTATCTCCAAAGCACTTTCACAAATATTTCATTGTCACTTGTCTCACATACAAAAGGAAGAATAGATATTATTATAATTATTTTACAGATAGGGAAGTTGAGGCTCAGAGAGAGTTAGTAACTTTTCCTCCTGACCCTAAAATTAGGAGACCAGGAGTCTCCCATGGGTCACTTGCTAGATAACCTTAGGAGTGCTATTTTCCCTCTTTGGGCCTCAGTCTCCCTACAATGAAGGATTGTAAATTCAAAGATCTCTAAGGTCCTCTCCAGGAATAACATTCTTGGGCAGTGGCTCCCAAACCGTGTGCTTGCAACTCTCGTATCTGAGGAGATGCTAACAGGCATTCCATGGAACAGTTTGGGAAACTGTCGTAGTGCTGGTTTTAGGTTCACTTCAAGACAGGGGCTGGATCCCTGTGCAGGGAAGGTGGGTCAAGGCCTAGGGCAGAGTAAGGCATGGAAAAGGAACTGAATCTATCAGCTCCTATACTGTGTGGAGTATTTCCCACGCATCATCTTATTTTACCTTCAAAAACCCCTAGGAAATAGATATTCTTACTTCCATTTTGCAACTTAGAAGCTGAGTTTTCTCGCTGAGGAAACTCAATGAAATTATAGGTAGGGTAGGGGATAGTTGCTCAAAGAGATGACTTCAAAGGGCTCGTTCATAAACTTTATAGTGAGGAGAAAGCTTCCTCGTTATGTATTTGATTTGCCCTCAACTACAGGGAGCGGCAGCTTCACTCCCACCTCCCAAATGTGAAGCAAGTGCACCTACTAACTGCGCCTGAGACGTACCTAGCAGTTGGGCTGCCAAGGAGTGTGGGAAATGTAGTTCTATAGATCTCTGCAGTGCAGGATGGCACACCTGGGGAGGGCAGTATTGACGCTGAGTGCAAATGACCACATCCGTCATTCACTCCCCAGTGAAGTCCTTTCTCAAAGTCACTCTCCTCCTGAACTCCGGGGGCCTGAGATGTGAGCTGCAGAACTGGGGAGGAGAGAGGGAACTGGTGTGGGAATGAATCTGGGCTGGGGGTGGCAACTAGGGGCCAAGATGAAGACACAAAGCTCCTGCCCAGTCTTGCAGCAAAAACAAAAGAGAGATGAAGACAAAGAAAAGGCATGGAAGTGACAACCAGGGAAGAAGTGTTCTTTGTCTCAGACAGAAGCCACTTGAGGGGTTCCACTCCTGGTTCCTCACCGAGACACACTTCTCTTATCACTTTTCTTTTCCCTACGGTTTTGAGGATCAAGTGGGTCATAGATAGCACAAGAACATGATTTGGTCACTGTTAGGGGATGCACAGATGAGAGAAACAGTGATCATCTCCCAACCAGCAGAGCCAAGCAGCCTCACCCATTTATCTTCTGAGCTGTGCTCCTTCAACCTGGAAGGTCCTGTAAGAGGCAGAGTAATCTTTCAATGTAATTTCAGTTCAGAGGAGCAGGATTTCACATGACTTTTCTTTTATAGTAATCTCATTTCTAAGAATCAATATGTCTTACTTTTTGTTGTTGTTGTTGTTGTTGGATGTATTTTTTTAATTTTTTAAAATTTTTAAAAAATTTTTTTTTCTTCCTTTTATTTTATCATATTATGGGGGTACAAATATTGTTAAGGTTACAAATATTGCCCCTGCCCACCCCCATGTGCCAGAGATTCAAGTGTGTCCAATCCCCCGGTGGTGTGCACTGCACACATTATGTAAGTATACACTCTTCTCCTCCTCCCCACTTCCACCTGCCCACCACTCGCTAAAAAGTTTTTTTTTTCTTTTTTGTTTGTTTGTTTTTTGACATTTTGTTTACATTGTAAATCTTTGCCTCTCCCTAAGAAGGGTTAGAGTTATGCCCTTCCCCTCCAAAATGCTCGCCACATCCCTAAGATTGGGTCCCCCCCACCGAATCCCTGGTGAACATTACCACCATTTGAGAACCATAGTTTTAATCAGTCAATAATATGTCTTACTTTTATGAGCAAGAAAAAAATAAATGAAAAATGCAATGTCTTGATCAAAATAAAATAAAATGACCACTTATAATCTGTATTCAATCTCTCCCCCACCCACCCCGTCTCTCTCTCACACACATACATACATATTTTCAGAATCACAACTGTGACTTAGCATTGAATTATTTATGGGATCATAGAATGTAGAATGTTTGAGCCAGAAAGGACCTGAGAGGTCACGTAGCCAAGCGGTATCCAACCATGTTCTAAGGACCCTAGGAATTTACAAAGATAACTCGGAGAGCCTCAGAGCAGAAGAGGTGGTGACAACCAAGACCTCTCTTCTTGCCTTCACCAGATGTCTTGGCTTTAATCTATTTTATGTTTTACATTTGTCTATAAGATTCCACGTCAAAAAGAAATTTCACTGCAACACACATGTACGAAAACCAGAGGATGAGCTCAAAGCTATGTAGCTCTGCCATTTTTCAGATGGGGAAGCTGATGCCAAGAGAAGTAAAAGGCCCACCTATAAGTCCCAGGGAAGCGGAAAACGGGGGGTCTGGAACTGGAATCCTGATGCCTAAACTGTTTTCCCCACTGCAAGACTCCCAGGCTTACTGACCCAGACAGACGTGGCTCTGATCCAAGGTCAGATCATTGTTGGTGCTGTTTGTTTGCACAACAGTATGATATTGTTTAAGTCCTGCCTGGGGCCCAGAGACATCCCCTGGCAAGACCCTCTGCATTGGAGCCCAGAGCAGAGAGCTGCGGTCTCGGTCTTCGAAGGAGAGAGCCGCAGCGAGGACAGGGTGGCTCTTTCCAGGGGTGGTGCGCTCTGCTGTTAACGCGTCATACCCCTTCGCAGTACTGTAAACACAAGTCCACTGTATGTTTTTAAAACGTGAGAATAAGCAGGATCCTGCCCTCCTGTTTTGACATAGCCTGCAGGGAGGGAGAATGGGACGAGCAGATCTCGCCTGTGCAAAATGTAATTGCTTCCCCCACCTGATGGTTTATCTCAGGCGGGACCGGCCGTCCGACAGCCCCTCAACCTGAACCGCCCGCAGCCTCGGCGCTGAGCAAAAAGACCTGGCACCCAGACTGCGCTGCCGCTGCAGATTTGCCACCCGCGTTCGCTGGGGCCTTGGGACTCATTTTCCACACCTGCAAAATGAGAGGGTTGGCTTAGATCATCATTTTCTTTCTTTCTTTCTTTTTTTTTTTTATTTCGGCATATTATGGGGGTACAGATTTTAAGGTTTCAATAAATGCCCATTTCCCCCCTCCCCCCACAAGTCTGAGTTTCCAGCATGACCATCCCCCAGATGGTGCACATCTCACTCATTATGTATGTATATATCCGCCCCCCTCCCACCTGCCCAATACCCTATTACTGTAGTACCTATGTGTCCACTTAGGTGCTACTCAGTTAATACCAGTTTGCTGGTGAATATATGTGGTGCGTGTTTTTCCATTCTTGGGATACTTCACTTAGTAGTATGGGTTCCAGCTCTATCCAGGAAAATACAAGATGTGCTATATCACCATTGTTTCTTAGAGCTGAATAGTACTCCATGGTATACATATACCACATTTTTTCAAGCTGTCGAAGAGGCTCTGGCTGGGTCCGTTTTACAGAATGGGCGTCCTGGTAAGATTTAGGTTGAAGTTTCTGCTACAGAAAGGAAGTTGGGAATCCACTAGACTCAATGTTTCTCATACTTCTTTCCCTCTAAAATATTCTAATTCGAGATTTGACTTCTCCTCAAGGTGCTAAAAGAAGTTTCGCCACCACCCAAGAGAGATGGAAGAAAGTCATGCTCCGTCTCTGGAAAGTGAGCTGAGGATCTCAGGGTCTGTGTAGCTGAACCTTGCCACGCACTGCCATCCTCTCCAACCCATAGCGTTAGTCCTCCCTCCTCTTCCCTGCCTCAGCACTTCGTGCCTTGCACCAATAACACTGCCATACAATTATTGTATTGCCACTTCCGCCTCCTGCCTTTATCCCCTGAAGCTTGTGGCTATGTCTTACTGCTAGCTGAAACCCCAGTACCCAGCACCGGATCTGGTACATCGTAGCTGCTCAATAAATGGATGTTAAATTGAACTGCATTCTCTATAATTGGCCAGACTTTCAAACTCAGCGTTCTAAAGCTAACCCTTATATATGTATGCAATTTCAAGAAAAATATTCTGGCCTGGTACAGAGGCAGTATTTGTTCAACCACTGAGCAGATGTTGAGTACCAACTATAAGCCAAGTGCTACTCTAGAGCCTGCAGGCACCGTGGAGAGTAAAACCAATTCAATCTCTAATGGAGACCTACTAGAATGGAGTGACAGAACCAAATACCTACTGAGGGTTGGGAGGAGCTCTGCTCCCAGAGAATATATCTTTCTGTTGTCATGAGTCACATTGAAAGCAAAGGTTTAATGCCCAAAGGCCTCAGGGAATGGGATGTCATAAAGACTGGTTTTCTTATTGAGATGAGGGCCTCCCAGGAAGGGGCACCGAAATGCAGATTGGAGCTAAGTGGAAGAGGGCACCACCAAGGAAAGACATAAATCAAGAGGGAAAGACTAGGCACAGTTCTTGTCTCCTGTCCCCAAAACGTGGCAAGTGGCAGGACAAGTATGGACTTCGACAGTCCTGGGTTTGAATCTGGTCACTGTTGCTTCCTTATTGTGTGATGAGCAGCAAGTTGCCTTAACCTCTCTGAGAAAGTTTTGGGGAAAAGATCATGAACTTGGTGGGCAATGTGTTGAGCTGAAAGTGGCTTTGGGATCACTAATGGCAGCAGAGGGCACAGAGACAACCAGGTCTGGAGTTCAGGGAAGGTGTTTGAACTAGGGACAGGGATTTTGGAGTTAATTTGCATGTGTGTTTTTCTCGAAGCCACTGGTATTTGTGATGACATCTGGAGAGAGGATGTAGCAAGAAGAATGGAGGCATGGGGAGGAAGGAGCCACAGGGAGCCCTCTCATTAGAGTGACCAGAAGCTAACACCTCTGGGAGGTGGGTTTTCTCCCCTGTGCCCCTAAGGACCTTGCCCAGACAGCCACTGTAGCTCCCATCGAACTGCCTAGGAAATCTTGGCTTTTATGTCTGTCTCCCTCTCACTATTATAAACTCTTTGAGGGCAGGCCAAAGTTTAAACCATCTTTGCTTTCCCAGAATCTTGCCCACTGTTTGTTGAATGAATAAAGTAGCAAATGAAGTGTAGAAATCATGCCCTGTGAGAAACAGTCCAAGAATGTGTAAATGTTGTCTTGGAGAAGATATGACTCAAGGAACCCAGAAAGAGCTGACATATGGAAAAAGGCAGAACACCATTATGCCAGTGTTGGAAGAAAATTATTTCAGCTCAACACTGGAGCTGCCCAGTGATGGAATGAGCATATTTGGTGAAGTAGTGAGACCTTCATCACTGAGAGCATGTAAGCAGAGATGCATGGCATGCTCCCAGGACTGGTGCACTGTGCGGGAGCCTGACCATGGCTGCTAAGGCACACAGCTCTGACAATCTGTGATTCCAACATGGCACCCAGGCAACCCCCGCACCTGTGCCAGGTGACTTCAGAAGGGAAGAATGGAGCCCATCAGCAACAGACAAAGAAGTGATCTCTGATGGTTGCAGGCCTTATTCTACGGAATTTCCAGAAGGCCAATTGGCCCAACCTTTCCCTTTGCATTCTGGGCCCTGAGAATCTTGTCCCTGCCTGCCTCTCCAGCCTTCTGTCTCACTGAGCTCCATCCTGTAGGCACACATCTACTTATTCATCTGCTCACACCTAGCATTGAGCTCCATTGGATGGGAAGCCTTCTGGGAGGAAGGGCCCATGCCTCATACAGTCATCAGGCAGCAGTGGTTAAGAGCACAGTACCATAGTCAGACCACCTTTATTTCTCAGCCTGTGAATCCAAGACACTCATAAGACTATTATAAGAATTAAAGGGTTAATACCCATAATGTTCTAGCATGGAGTAAGTTCTCAGAAGAAGTTAGCTACTATTATTGTATGAGTTTCTCCTATTCCTAGCACAATGCCTGTCAGCAAAGGTTTGCTAAACTTAAAAAGCAAGCAAATATATTAATAACTAGAGATATTGCTATCGCCAACCAATCAACGAACATTTACCAAGCACCTAAACCTTTGCCGGAAAATGAAAAACCTTGAAGTGGAAAAAAATATCCAATTTTTATGTCCAAAGATTTTGCAATCTGATACAAAATCAAATATCATCATTTTTTAAATTAATAAATTAAAAAGACAAACAAAATCTAAGTAGGGCCCTGCTAGCCATCGCAGAACTTGATTTGATCAAGTTCTGAATTGAGAGAGACCTTTGATTAATGCTTTGCAAGGGAAAGGGAAAATAATGTGGGCTTCCTCTGTGTGAAAGGTTTGGGTTTTCTTGACAAGTGCCCTTAACTTTCTTAATATTCTACAAGTTGCTCAGAAATATTCAAACATTTAAACAAGGCAAGCTGGGGAAATGAGGAAAGGGAACTGAGCCCTAGCCATGTAATGCCCATTTGGGCTTAAACCATTTATCAGTGTTTGTTCATTTAATCCCAGCCTTAAAGCTATTAAACAGGGTGGCTTTTCCCTGGGGGAACCCTGGAGTCAATCTCACTTCTCTCCAAGGTGAAGATCCACAGAGATGCTTCCCTGGCATGGGGGGCAAATATTTGGTGGGGGCCTGTCCTCTGACCTACTAAGGGCTAAGAAGCAAAATGGGCTTTGGCCAGACACACGGAAAAGATCCCCTGCAGATCCAGCTGCTGATGGGATTATGTGGGAACTCACCATCAACGTCCTCACAAAAGAAAACATAAGCACCATTGATTACGTTCTAATAACCATTTTATTACCCATTTTATATTTATGAAAAGGCACTGGAAGAGGGCTGTTACTATTTTTCTAATGCAAAGCAGATGGGCCAGACAGAGGTAAATGGGTCTTTCTGGGTGTGGCCCTGAAAGTTTGTGTTTTCCCCCCACAAGGTTTTCAGCTGGGGCCAAGCCAGACCCAGAAGTTCCCATCTAGCCCTGTCTCAACACATGACTTTCATTAACAAAATTGCATTACTCTTTTCTGCAGAAAGTGGTACCATTACTATAATAAAAACATGTCCATTATGGATCAATTGCCACCTACGTGGTGGTGAGGAGGACTCCGCAGGGAGAGGGCAGAGACTGGTGAGAACAAAGAAAGGCTGATCTTGCAGAGGGAAGTCCCAGCCACTGGGCCTCTTTCAGACACCTAGGGCTGCACAAGAACGAGATGGCGCCGACCAGTACCTCTAGCATGATCACCCTGGCTGGTCTCCTGCAGACAGAGCATGGCCCTTAGAGAGCTACAGTTCCAACGGTGAAACCAGCCCATTCCGCTGCACACACCTAGTCAATGGAGGCCAGTACACGCGCCACCAGCTGCCCTCCTTCCAAGCCCACCCTCCGGGCCCCTTTGGACTCTCACTTTGTTCCTGACTTGACTTTCTTGCTCCATTTTAATAACTTCCCATTTGGTTTCCAGCCTCATTCTCACTTTCCAAATTTAAGGTGGATTTCTTAACTTGGATGCAGCCGTGGTGTGTACTACCCACTGGTTCCACCCCCCTCACAGTATACTCATGTTGACCCCTGCCTGAGCAGTAGCCACTCCTGTGCCCTCTGCCCAGAGGTCAGCCCAGCCCCAGCTCCAGCCATTCCCACCTTAGCCTGTCCCCTCTATGTGGTAGGAGACACTGATCATCCCCTAAGCATGTTCACTTCTTAAAGTAATTTTCTCTGATAATCTAAGATATGCCTATCTTGGTGGAGGTATTTTTATCTATACCTATAATTCTCAAGCTTCCAGGTGCATGAGAATTAGCTGGGGAGAGGTAGAAAAATGAATTCCTGAGTACTATCTTTAAAAATTCTGATTCTAGAGGTCAAAAAGGGCCAAGAATCTGCATTTCTTATCGTGATTGATTCTAATG